TGTCTGTCTGCCTGGCCTTTCTGCTTACACCCCACTTGCTCTGTTATCCGTTTCCGGGATGTTTCCTTTTTCTGTGTGTGCATCGGACCCATCTGAGTGCATGCACCTGGCGTTTGTTTGCTTCCATGCACCTGTGCAGCTGTCTGCCGAGGTGTATACCTCCCCCCCACCCCCGTGTGCAACTCTGCTCTCCCTGCTGTCTCCCTTTGGACATTTTCTCCCTCTTTCAAGGGTCTGTTCCTGGCATTGACTTTCCTCACCCCATCATAAGCCAATGGAGGGATGGGAGGGTGAAGAGCTCATGCCCACGGCTGCATGGCATTCAGTAGCACTGTCCTTCCAGATGGGCAGCCGTGGGAACCAAGTCAAAATTTTAAAATGCATCTTTCTGTACAATGATAGTGCTTGTCAGCCCCTGTGCTAAGTGCCTTGCCGACACCTGCCCTGCACCCAGGGAGCCCTAGCAGTGTGGGGGTTACACATTCGACTTGCTAACTGCAAGGTCAACGGTTCCAAACCACCAGCCACTCGGAAAGATGAACTCGGAAAAAGAGTTGCAGTCTTGGGCACTCACAGACGTAGTTCTACCCTGCCCTGTAGGGCCACTGTGAATTGGCATCGACTCAATGACAGTGAGTTTTGGTTTGCCCTACACTCAGCCTTGGGAAGCAGGGGCGAACGAGGGGCAGAGGAAAGGAGCTCCTTGACGGAGATCACGCTCCAAGGAAGTGACAGGAAGTGGACTGGAACCAAGGCTGGCAGCTGCCATTGACTCCACCCCCCTCCAGGGGGTTAATAGTAATATAAAATATGAATAAGAGTCAGCACTTCATGAGCACTTCCTGTGTGGGAGCACTCTTTGCACAGGCTTTCCTCGTTCGGGTTATGAAATCTTTTTCGCAAGGCTTATACGTCGTGAAACTGGGATTGGAGTCCAGGCCACCCTGGGCCCAGTGACTCTGGATGGTCACATTCTCTATCTAGCCCCTGTGCTTGTGGGCATGTCCCTCCCTCTCCCTTCCTCCCTCAACCTGTCTTCTGGGCCCCACAGATCCTGGCTGGGAAGCCAGCCGCCCTCACGTCACACAGCGACCTGCTGGATACCAGTGTGGTCTCGGCCTCTTCCCGCAGCATCGAGGAGCAACAGGCCACACAACAGGTAGGTAAGGGTGGCCTGGGGGGCTGGGCTGGGGGAGCCTGTGGCTGCTCAGGTGGACCCCACCTACAGCAGCTGCCACCCTGCAGCTGATCATGGACCAGCAGGACCAACAGCTTGAAATGGTGTCTGGGAGCATCCAGGTCCTGAAGCACATGTCTGGCCGAGTGGGGGAGGAGCTGGATGAACAGGGCATGTGAGGCCAGGAAACCCCAGCGGTGGGCAGGCCCGGGAGGTGGGCCCACTGGCCCTCTGGAGGTTGACACCTGCCTGGTCTTGGCAGCATGCTGGATGCCTTCGCTCAAGAGATGGACCACACCCAGTCCCGGATGGATGGGGTCCTCAGGAAGATGGCCAAAGTATCCCACATGACAAGTGGTGAGTCCCTGGGGGGCAGGGGGCCCTGAGTGGTCCTCGCCCACCTGTGACCTGTGGCCCTCTCTCCCCCAGACCGCCAACAGTGGTGTGCCATCGTGGTACTGTTGGGTGTGCTGCTCTTGGTCCTCATCTTGCTCTTTTCCCTCTGACCTTGGCCCTCCCCAGGGGACCAGGTCCCTTGAGTTGGGGGTGGGGGAGGACCACCAAGCACTATGGAGCTGAGCAGGGCCCTGCCCCCTGGGGAGGGGGCTGCACCTGGGGAGATGCCCCCAAGGCTCTCATCTGGAGTCAAATGGGACCCTGGGGTGGGGGTGCACCATCTGTCCTAAGTGTGCTTAGGCAGGGGTGGAGGTAGGGGCACTTGAGCTACCCAGCCCCTTTCCCCAATGCTTTCAGTGTCCCAAAGCCATTGTCCATGTGCCTTGTCCATGTGCCAACTTGGAAATAAAATCCTAACCTTTTTATATGGATTTATCACAGATGATGTGTTGACTCTAAACTGGACAAGATGGTCTTTCTAGAGTCCTGGCCCAAGTGTGAGTGAGTGAGTGAGTGCATGCCTGGGTGCCTTAGGAGACTGATCACTATTTAGTAAACACTAGTCTGGTTTAAGTGTTGGTTTTAATTGGGGGTCATTTGTGACTATTGAAAATTCCAAACTCCCAACTGTTCCCTGAGCTTCCAAAGTCTCCTGCTCAGGTTGTGTCTAAGGCGGGTGTGACACTTCTTCATATGACTGTTCTAGCCATGTTTTTGCAACTCATATCGAATGACTCGGTGGGACCATGCAAACAGGGTGTGAGACTAGTTGAGGGGATTAATGGGTATAAGAAAGGCCTCCCAGAAGCCAGAGGGGAGAGTTTCTGGGACCGTCAAGGAAGAACAGCCACCAGCTGAGCACATTTGAGATGGCTGCCTGAAGTCGGGGAGGCAGCATGAGCCATGTCACTGGGACTAGAGGCCACACTGCAGAAAACTGTCCTGAGACCAGAGACCATGAGACAGAGCAGCAGGTAGACTTCCGAGCCCATAGAGCAAGGCAGAGGCCAAGGGGCCATATGGTTGAGAAGCTGAGGACCAGTGAGACTTGGCTGTTGGTTGGAGAGGTGCTCATAAATCCGCGTAATCATGAGTATTATTTATGAGTTCTAGGCCATTGCAATGGTTTATCAAACCCAGAAGAGAAGTTGAGTGTCCTGGGAGCAAAGGTTGGTGTCAGAATAGGGTTAAAAAATACACACACACACACACAGTCAAGAAGGATAGAGACATTGATGTCTGCCTCGTGCCATTTGGCCTTAGGCTGGCACAGTGAATTCTCCTTGTCCCTATGGAAGCCAGAGGTCAGTAGTGGCCCCCATGTCTTTTACTCACCCCTAGACAGGCTTAGCTTAGTTGTCATCTCTAAGGGGCCGTTGACTAAAAATACATCCCCACAGCACACTTAGTGACTTTAACACCTTTCTAACGTGCTACTGTCGAGCCTTCTGGGAACAAAGTTGTGCTGGGTATAAAACAGTAACCTCTTGACAGCATAGTTGTTTCCACTGTTCATTATATATTACATATACATAAGGATGCGTCTCAAGTTCTCATTGACCTGTTTGTAGTGAGCTGTTACAAAGCTCTCATTTTAAAAAGATTTTAGACCAAAAAAAGACCATAGATACTATAGTTCTGAATCTTTTCATCCTTTCTATATTAAAAGATGCATTATACCTTCTGACGACACATGCTACATCTTTTACTTACTTCCTAAGAATTCCTGACTTGTGACCAGTTGCCCTTCTGCCATTGGTACTCCTACATCATTCTGGTGGCTACGATTGGCTTTTGGAACCCCACAGGGAGGTGGTCTTCTGGAAATACAGTGGGTTGTAATGGATTAAATTGCTGTTGTTAGGTACCATTGTCTGTCCAGACTTAGTGACCCAGTGAACCATAGAAGCAGACTCTGCCTGGTCCTGCACCCTCACCATTGTTTTTCGAACCCATGTTGCAGCCATTGTGTCAATCTGCCCATTTTGCCCAGGGTTTTCCCTCCCTCTTCTCACAGCCTTACCCAGCATGGTGTCCTTTCCCAGGGACTGATTTCTCCTGATGTGTCCAAAGTACATGAGTTGGATGAACTTTCACCATCATGGAGTGAACTGTCCTTCTCCCCAACCCCCCACCCCAAACACAGGTGTTAAACATCTTAATTCCTGTACCTCTATCATTCAGTCTCTTTTAAGACAAAGGAGCTGATTGAGTAGGCTGGGAGATGACCGATGTGAGGACACAAGAAGGTCACCAAGGTAAGGGGACTTTTCCTGGAGCTGAATGCTGACTTCTAATTTCCTTACCCAGTGAGAGAAGGCACTACTGTTCATTACAGACACCCCAATGTGGTATTTCAGTTCTAGCTACACTAAACAACTAAGAACCTGCTCAGGCCTTGAAATAACCCAATTCTTCTCTGCGGACTGCTGCAGTGTTCACCGTCCCCATGGAGCTGAATCATGGAACTGAGAGGAAGCCCCCCCACCCCACACACAATGAAGACCTTTAGACTGGATGGGATAACCATGTAACTACCATTTTTGTTTTTACGCGAGAGCTGAGACCCTGAAAGAGGTCAGGTCCGTGAGGCAGTCCCTGTTGCTGCATTCCCCCCCCCCCCCCCACCCCCAGTGAGCAGGTCGCAGAGCTGTTACAAAGGCGTTTAGTTTATTTTCATCAGCATCACTGACGTGCTCATGGTTCACATTTCCCAGTGCCACCTCTCCTTACAGTAGTTAATGTGCAATCTCACTCAGGGGCCAGGGAGGGAGGGGGCTTGGGGCAGGGTGTTGGCACTTCACGAGGACAGGACAAACCCCTGTCCCACGTGAAAGAAGCGAGAGGGTGGCAAGGCAGCGGAGGGAACCCCATCTTTTCTCCATGGTGGGTGACTCCGCCTGTCAGCCTCCCTGCTGCCCAGGTAGGGTGGGGGTGGGGGGTCATGCAGCTCAGAGCAGGGCCGGGAAGCAGGGGACCGGGATTGGGCGCAGGGGTGGCTCCTGGGTAAGGCACAACCCTGTCTTTGGCTCTCCTGGTGAGGAGTTTCCTCCCCTGCACCACTACCTGGTCCCCCTACCCCAGTAAGCCAGGGGATGGCCAGCCACCCCAGGCTGCGGCTCTCAAGGAGCTTCAGGGTGGCCCCATCGGAGAAGGCAGGAGGGGCTGGGCAAAGGTCTGCCCAGGACAAGGGGGTGGGGAGGTTAGAAGGCCCCTGTGCCAGAGAGCTGCCCCCGCCCCACCCCCCTGCTAAGGCAGGGAAGGAGCTGGGTGCCTGTGAACTCCTGCTTCCTTCTGTGGTTTGGCTAGAGCCCTGACCACTGCACCCCCTTGGCCTCGGCCAGCTGGGTACTGCTACTGCCAAGTGACCAGGATATTGTGCTTTGGGATCGATGCTGGGGGTGGGGGTGGGGGTGTTGGTCAGGGGCGGGGGACCTATAGGGGTGGAGAAGAGGTGTGATTAAGGTGCTTGTGCTTTAGCTGGGGGTGTCAAGTCTCCTCCACACATACTTAGGGGCCGGCTGGAGGCTAAGGTGCTGGGGCTGAACCACGCAGAGAATAGCAGCAGGGCCCCAGCCGGCCCTGACCCCCCTCCCTACCCCCGTGACTGACACCCCCTCACAGGCACCAAGCAGATGTTAGAAGTGACAGGCTGCAGGGTCCAGGACAGGATGGGGACCCCCCCCCACAATCCCTGGCCCTCTGCTAGAAAGGATGAAGGACCAGTGGGAGCAGTGGGCAGATGAGAGCTGGGGAGGGAAAGGAGAGGGAGTGTGGGCAGGGCTAGAAATAAAAGTGGAATTAGGAAGTGACCCGGATGTGGGGGGATGGGGAGTTACAAAAAAAGAAGAAGCCTCCATGCTCACATGGTAAATCAAATAGCTTCCCTCTTCACGAGAGAACCAGCTAGAAAGGAATGGTTAGAGGTGCGTGGATCTGTCTACATGGAGGGGGAGCCTGCCCTGGTCCCTAGGGATGGGGCTCAGCCAGGGCCAGGGACACCCTTGAACTGTAGCCCTGTGGGGGTCGGGGGAGCCAGTCAGACCCACAGGAGTCCAGGCAGCACTGGGCCGAGGCACCCCCAAGACTCGAGCGCGCACACACACGCGCGCACACACACACACACACACACACTCACACACCCACCTGCCTACTGATCCCATCCTGCCTGCCCTGGGCCCCAGGGACCAAAGGGGAGCATCACACAGTCCCATTGGTTTGAAAAATAAAAGGAATCTTATACTTCAGTATTTCATTAGCTAAGAAAAATGTTTAAAAAGTATGTACAGGGGAAGGGAGGGGCTAGGAGCCCGGCTGGAGGGTGGGAGGGTTGGAAGGAGGGCAGCAGGCCCCAGCCCTGCTCCCCTCAGTTCAACCCTGGTCCTACTGCCTCTTACAGAGCTTCATGTTTTCAAAAGCAAAACTTCTGAACACGCACGCACACACGCACACACTCACTCACACACACTCACACTCCATGAGCCCTGGAAACCTGGTGCCCTAACCTCCGAGACCACACCTGCCTCTAAGAGCCCCCTCACTTAGGACCTGCCTCCTTGGGGCTCTTGGGTGGGCTGGGGGCTGTGCAGAGGGCAGAGCATCTCATGGGAGAAGGGCCCTGGGCCCACCACCAGAGGCCAGTCATGGGATTTCAGAGCCTGTCTCCACAGTTGTCAAATGGACATGCCCTGTGGCCTCGCCTACCCCAGCCCCCAGTTGCAGGGACAGACGAGGGGACAGGAAGGCGCTTTTGGAAAAGTGGAAGCTCTGGGAAGAGGTGGCCGGGGGTCCTGAGAGCCCAGGGCCCTTTGAGTCCAAAGGGCCGCAGTGGGGCGGAGGCCGAGTGGCCTCCGTGGGTCCAGGGTCTGGGAGAGGGGCCCTTCCTGTACCACCTCCCTCGGGGCCAGTCCCCCCCTCCCCACAAATGCCTGGCCTGGTGAGTTGAGGGACCATTCCTAGGGGTTAGGAGAGGGGAGGAAGGGCTCCCCGACAGTGCACAAGGGTGTGGTAAAGGCAAGGTGAACCTCACACCACCTGCCACTCTCCCAGCCCTGCCCTGGCGGGGGACACTGGGCTGGGGGATGGGGGTGGGGCAGGGAGACGGAAGGGCTGGGAGCATGCAGCACCCCCGTGGGCCCTGGGGAGGGGCAGACAGTAGATCGTGACCAGGGCGGTGGGTGGGCGGTGTGGTGGGAGGGGAGTGTGCCGGCTCTGTGGGAGGGTCCGGTGGGTTACTGCAGGGCCTCGGCTGAGGGCCCGGTGGGCCCGGCGTCACCGGCGTCACCATCGTGGCTGGCCGTCTCGAAGCCATGCTCCACGCTCATCATGTCTGGCTCCATCTTGCACGGGTCACTGATGAAGCTTGTGTAGGCGTCGCCCTCAGTGTTGAGCAGCTTCAGCTTGGGCATCCAGCTCTTCCGCACCACGCGGCGGGCGTTGGTGCACATGTCTGCCGCGATGGCGTTCATCTCGCTCTCCTTGAAGTTGGGGGCAAAGTTCTGGCAGTAGTCTGTGGGGGCAGGGCAGGGGTGAGCGCTTAGTCAAGGCTTTGGGGCCCTCCACTGCTGGCAGCCCGGCGTCCTTTCCCGCAGCAGCTGGCCAGCCCTGGGTTTGCAAGGCTGCTTCCCGAGTTTGAGACTTTTCTCTCCCACAAAAACATCCAACAAGCCACAGCCCTCCAACCCTCTTCCCAAAGTCTCAACGCATTCTCATTGAGGCAGGGCCGAGCCCCGGGGTGGGGTATCCCCATCCCACACCACACTCACACTTGACAGCGTGGAGGACGCGGCTGTCCAGGGGTTTGCGGCTGGGGTTGTTGGTGGAGGAGCGGATCCCAGTGCCACAGCTATTGGCCAGTGTGTTCCTGGGGATGGAAGGTGGGGGGAAGGGATGTCAGTGCTCCGTGTGGGGACCAAGGGGCCACATGGAGCCCCCCACCCCCACCTCCTGGCCCTGAAGGGCCTCACCGGTCAAAGAAGGAGGCCAGAAGCCGCCGTAGCAGGACCTTGTGCCTTGTGCCTGCGCTGACATGGCAGTTCATGAGCTGTGCCCTTGTGATGTACACATTGGTACCTACAGAAAGAAACCAGAGAGTGGCTGGGGGCCTCCACCTGCCACCTCCTCACCCATGGACAGGGCAGCCTCATCCCGACATCCAGGGCACTCAGGAAAGGATCACTATGGCACCACTGGTGGGTGTGGCACCTACCAAGTTGGAGGAGGACGCATGCGCAGTGGTCAGCCCCAGGAAAAGTGGTTGCTAAGCCACAGAGTGGGCTCAGAGGGGAGCACCCCCCACGCTGGCTGACTATAAAGGCTGATTATTCTAACTCACAGGGCCCTGAGCCCCAGACTCTTTCACATGGTCACACGGGTCCAGCGCAACCCACTCCCCACCACCTCCCTGGCATCGACAAGCCTACCTAGGGCTGCCACTGCCCCAGGCCCAGAGCCTAACCGCCATGGTGGGGCCCACCTGTCACCAATTCCAGCTTCTCAGAGGGCTCGCCCTCGTCGTAGAGCTTGGGGTGGCAGCGGTTGCCAATCTGGTTGATGAGCTCGGCGGGGAGGGATGCCAGGTCTTGCCTCGCCCGGATGCGGTTCCGGGACTCAGGGGTCAACTGTTCAGGAAGGGCCTCCACCTTCTCGGCTGTGGGGAAGGGGTGAGGAGTGGTGGTGTGGGTATTGGGCAGAGGGGCTGCGGAGCAGGCTGGGTGGGGTTGGCTGGCACCTACCTGTAGGGCCGACGTTCATCATGCTGTACATGGTGTACATGTTGCATATCTGCCGGTACTGCTCGTCCATGCTCTCCTCGCCTCCGTCCTCCTCCTCATCCTCCTCGTTGTGGTACGAGCCGGGGCTGTCGCTGGTGTAGGCGCTCGAGGTGCCGGGGCTGGTCCGCTCCGATGTGCTGGGCCCGCTCACTACAGCCCCAGCCCCGGGGCCAGCCCCGGCCCCAGCCCCGGCTGGCTGTGCGGTTCCAGCCACCGCTGCCACTGCCACCCCGGCTGGCTGGGCTGCGGCCACCACGGGGGCCTGTGGCGGCCGGCTGGCAGCCAGGTCCAGTGTGGAGAACTTGGCCATCTTGCGGCTGCCATTGCTGCTGCCCCCTGCCTCCTTCTGGCTGCTGTCCCACAGCCTCTTGGCCACCGGCGTGCACTGCACAGAGTCTGACTCCTGCTGCTCCGTCTTCACCCGAGACAGGAGGGGCAGCGGCGTGCTGCAGGTCGGCCAGCTCGACGTCTGTGCCACGGGGCTCTGGGGCTCAGACAACGGGGCCTCCTCAGAGTGCAGGCCCTGCGAGTCGCAGCTGGGGGAGCTCACCTTGAGGAAGAACTCGGTGCCCTTCTCCATGATCTCCTGAATCTGCAGGAAGCCGGCCGTGTACATCAGCAGGAACTGGTCGCCCACGTTCATGCTCAGGCGGCCTGTGTAGCAGAAGCTGAGGATCTGCTGGAAGGACTGGGGCTGCACGGCTGCCGGCAGCTCCACCACGGCGCTCCGGCTGCTGTTGAACAGGTCCCGGAAGTAGGAGCTGCTGGCAGCCAGCACGGCACGGTGGGCCTTGAAGGCGTGGCCCTTGACCACGACCGACACGTCACAGTACAGGCCCTGCAGCCGCTGCTCGTTGAGGCACTCCAGGATGCTGTTGCCGAAGTTGGGGATCTCCATCTGCAGAATCTGAGCCATGGCGCTGGCTGTGGGGGGAGGTGGGTCAGCTTCAGCTCTGAGGTGGGCCAGCCTGCCTGCCGAGCACTGGACCTTGCCTGCAGCCCCTCCCTTACACCCTGGTCCGAGCTGCTCTGTGTGATGCACTGTTAACAAGCCTGAGCTCTCTGGGCACTAGGGGAATGAGCGCAAAAGACGAGCAGTTGGAACACACCCAAAAGCACCTCAGAAGCAAGCGCTGGTGATCTATTTCCAAACAAGCAACCACTAAGAACCCCGTGGAGCCCAGTGGGGTGACAAGAGTCGGAATCAACTCAATGGCCATTAGCTAGTGGTCCTTCGTGAACTCAGCCCACACAGACCAGGCATCCATAGCAGAAGGCAGGCCACGTGGGGACATGATCTGCTTGGACGTTCGGGGGCTGTTCTAAGAGGTCACTGGCCAGGAGGTCAGGGTCATGTGACTGTCCACCAAGGCGCACACCCACGGTCCTCAGTTACCATCTGCTGAAGGACCACCCAATCCCTGGTGCCACCAAGTGGGGTACATAGCCCCATCAGACCTGCTCCATAGGTCGCCACACAGCGGCCCAGCATGGCAACGTTGGGGTTGGCTTAACCATAGCACTGCCAAGGGCCTTGAATGACTACTCTCAAGACCCTGACACTCATCTAAAGAGGCTCAACACCTCCTGTTCTGAGGGAACTGTCACACCGATCTACAAGGAGAGACCATTCTTATTTCCCAGGGTGGCTAGAATGGAAAGGTCAAGAGTGACAGAGGAGGTGGGGAACTCGGAAGCCCGTCTCCGGCGGGTGGGGTGTAAAACCGTGCAGCAGTGGGGGGAACAGTTGGACAGTTCCTCTGAAAACTACAAAGAGAACTGCCAGGCGACCCAGCAACGCCACGGCAAAGTACAGACTTAAAATTGAAAACACACATCCACGTGGAAAACGCCGCCCATAAACGTCCAGGGCATTCTTCACAACCACCCCCAAGTGGAGACACAGCCGACTGTGTGCATGCTGGAGTAGTACTCAGCCATCAAAAGCAGGAAGCACCGAGACCTGTCACAGCACGCCTGGACTACAGCCATTCTGCTCAGCGACAGAAAACGGGTCCCCAAAGACAGTGGAATGCCTGGTGCCAATTAGAGGACATGTCCTGGAGAGCAGGGCTTCTTGTGGGGGAGGTGAGGATTTTCTCAAATGAATTGGTGATGGAAGCACAGAAGCACACTTGTAGTAAGTGGGGAACGTGTAGGTATGTGGTGTCTCTCAGGGAAGCTGCTTACGCACAGGAACCCTGGTTTGAACTCACCGGTCGGGGGAGAAAGGTGTGCAGTTTGCCTCTGTCAAGATGGCAGTCTTGGGGACTCCCCGTGTGGCAGTTCTAATCTGTCCCAAGGGTTGCTAGGGGTCAGAATCAGGTTGACTTCAATAGGTATCGTGTATACAGAGAGCTGCTAAACCAGGAGTCTCTGGGAGAGCTGGGGAGGCACATATTCTTTGGGCCTTCTGAATTTTGGACCTGGTGACTGTTAAGTTAAATTAATAAAAGTTCATAATATTTTAAAATAGTGTAGCACCTGTTTAAGTTCACACATTTACATAAATGAGCCAGCACCAAGCCCAGTTGATTACGGCTCAGAGCAACCCTACATAGGGTGTCCGAGGTGGTGAATCTTTATAGGAGCTGCCAGGCTCACCATTTCCAGACTGGCTGGTGGGCTTGAACCGGTAGCATTGTACTCAGTAGTCCAAAGCCTAATTTATTATATCACTACTGGAACTGGGTCTGGGTGCAGCAAATAGGAATTTGTGCTTAAAATTGCCAGATGCCCTATATCCTATCTTGACTGGAGTGGGGGTGGGGGAAGCTGGGTACCCCTGACCATCAGGACTTCATTGCAAGCCTGAGCCTATCATAAAGGACCCTGAAGGGAAATGACGACTTTGCAAGGGACTGTCACATAACCCTAACCCATCACCCTCTACACACAATCCTCCCAGGTGCACAGGGGGCCGTGAGCTCCTGAGCAAAAATAAAGAAAAACACGAAAAGACAAAACCTCACGGCCACTGAGTTGTTTCTGACTCACAGTAACCTTTAGGGCAGGTTCAATCTGCCCCTGTGGGTTTCTGAGACTGGAAACCTTTACGAGAGTGGAAAGCCTCATCGTTCTTCTGCAGAGAGGCTGGTGGTTTCAAACTGCTGACCTTGCAGCCCAGCCCCTAAGACTGAGAGGAGAGGAGGTAGAGGTGGCCCATGCACAAAGGCCCAGGGCAGTAACACTTCACTTCCAGGGTGCTGGCCCATTTCTCAGTTTTTCACTCATCATCCAGTCCCTTGAGCTGTCCATCCCACCCCAAGGCATGGTGCTGGGCAGGAGGGAGTCTAGACCCTAGCTTGGCTGGCTCACCTCTCAAGGGAAAGACAAAGGCTGAACAGGGGCACAGTGGAACCAGAGCCCTTCGGACCTGGGTCCCCAGGCCAGGGCCTCTCGGGGCCCACATACCCTTCTGTAAGATGGGGGCTCACTCACTCATAGTCAGTCCCTGCCTGCCCACCGGTGGGGGAGACAGGGGAGCATTTACTTACAGGTAGGGTGACCGGACTGAGGTAGGGTTGATCTTAAAGACAGACAGCAGCCTGACCTCGGGGTGGCTAACATGGCTCAGTGAGCCCAGTGGAGGCACTCACACAGACCAGAGGGGATGCTGGGACAGCCCTACTTTACAGATGGGAAAGCGAAGCCACCCATTCCTGTCCTCTCCTAGGCCCCAGCTGGCCTTTCTACTCCCTTGAGAATCCTGAGTCTTGGAGCTCAGCTCCCCAGGGCTTCCAGCCTTCAGGGTCTGAGGTCTGGCAAAGCCCTCATCCACATGGGCTCTGGCCCTCAGATGGCAGAGAAGGGGTCACGCTCAGCCCTCTCCCACCACCCGTCCCCTTACCTCTAACAGAATAGAAAGTGCTCAAGGGCAGAAAACTGTATCTGAATCATCTCTCCTCAGAGCCTCACATTTGGGGGTCCCAGCCCCAACGGGCAGAGAGTATACCCCAGGATCTCCTGGTCCTGGCTCCTGTCCTGGACAGGACTCAGGGCAAGATGCCTGAGGGCCCAGCATGCTGTTTCCATGACCTCCCAACTGTCACTCGGCAAATATTTACCAAGTGCTGCCTGCAGGAAGTGCCCTGGGGCACAGGGCAGCTGCGATAGCCTGGTCCTGCTTGCAGTGGGTCAATATGTTGCCGCCATAAGGGGCAGGAGTGCCAACACTCACAAGGGGGCATGTGACCTGGTCCAGGGTCACAGGGGGTGGACTGGTACCCAGATCTGGGGAATGGAGCTGAGGAGGCAGGGCCCTTCTAGAAAGCAAACAAGGCTGAAACCGGCACCTGGCCCCTTGGTCCATTTTTCCTGTCCGCGCTCATTTCTGGCCCATCTCACTCAGCATTAGGGTATCCTAACTCCACAGGGTGGTTAACAGGGGTTCTGACTCAATACACCTCAAGCCCAGCCGGCTTTGCTCACGTCAAGATCCCTGGACTTGCCCTCAACTCCTTCAAAGCCACCACATGCCCAGTACAGCCAGGATCTGGCCAGGTCTTCACTATGTTGTGCGGGTCCCACCTGCTTTCAGATCTCAGGTCTTGGAGGCGGAGGTGCCTGGGCCTAGATAGCCCCACCCTCCAAGTCCTTTCCTTAACTCTTCGCGTCCCTTTCCTGGGCATCCTCCCTCCTCAGCATTCATCACTATCAAGCCAACAGGGCTGCGAACTAAAAGGTCAGAAGTTCCAGCCCACCCAGAGGCATCCTCAAAGAAAGTCCTGGCATTAAAAAGCCTACGGAGGCCAGTTCTAGGCTGATGCACCCCAGCATCGTCATGGCAACTAGGAACAATTGGCTTTTCTTTTTTCTGGCTTGTGTTCACTGCTGTCCCCCCACCCCACCACCCCGGCCAGGCCCACAGTAGGTGCTCAACAACTGTTTCTGGAGTGAAGGCGAATCGTTTGGAAAATAAGGCCACAGTTTCAGGCTCAAACTCACTTATTTTTTCCTTGCATGTATTGCTGCACCAGAGGTGAGAAGTGAGAGAACAGTGGGGCACAGGCTGGGCCTTGGTGGGGGAAGTCGTCAGGGGTGGGGCCTGCATGAGGGTCCCACTTAGGGCTGAATGAGGCTGAACTTCGGATTACCGGCCTTTGGAGGCAACAGTGTGTGCATAAAGAGAGCAGCCAGAGTGATTCCCAGGAGTCCAGCCCTCTTTTGGGTACGAGATCCCAGCATTCTGCTGCCACCGAGACCGGGGTGAGAGGCTTGTGTCTGGCTGGGAGGCCTCTCTGGTTTCCCCAACTTTCCTGGGAAGCCTTGTGCCATCCATTCACATGGAAACCACAGAGGGGAAGACACCTCCTTACTCCACCAGCCCACCCACCGCCACAGAGCTTGGCCCCCTCCTGGCGCTTGAGGGAAAAGGGTCAGAGAGCAGCAGGGAGGAAGCTGGCAGGCCCCTAGGACGCTGGGCTGGGGAGCCTGGCCCAGCGCCATTCTGACCCTGTGGAGCAGCCAACTGTGAAGGCAGCTTAGGAAACTTTTTGTATCTGAAGAACCAAGTAATGTCCAAACTCCAGGCTCTGACTCTTGGTGGCCCGAGTGTTGGTTTAAGTCATGTACCCCAAATCTGCTTTCTCTCCCTAATAATGAGGCTGACCTTGTTTCACAGATGGGAAGGCAGGAGCTCTGAGCAGGACTGGCACCCAGGACCGGGCCAACACCTCATCCTGTCCTTTCTAAGAACACTGCCTGGGCGCCCCTAGATGCTCCCTCTGCCTCCACCGGAGCACTCCCTCTCCCCCAGCCCCCTAGTTCTTCTCTAGCTCTTCCTCCTCCCACTGCCAGCTCCAAGAACGAGCAGTTTCCACCTGCTGCCTCTGCTTCCCTGCCTCCCACGCGCTCTGCAGTCCCGGCCAGCTGGCCTTCACCGCCCCACAGCACTGTCCCCATGCTGCCCTCCCTCTGGTCAGGGGGTTGGGGGACAGGGAGCAGAAGCCATACAATGGGTGGGCAGGGGCAGCAAGTGTACAGGCCAAGGTGACAGACGGATGAGGATAACACACACCGCACACACTGGTGGGGCTGGAGGAAAGTCGGGCCTGTTGGGATAAGGCGTTTGACCCTGTTTTAGGAAGCTCAACACTTTGGTCAAGCTGTCCCCTCCTTCGTGCATGCAGGAACTCTTGCGCCCCAGCAGGGCACACCCAACTTAAAGATGGGGCTGTTGACAGCAGCCAGCTCCTGCTCACCTCCGTCAGGGCCAGCACCACTACCTCTGTAGGAGTCAGGTTCCCTTTTGGCTACTCCTGTCCGGCTCCTGGTGCCTCCAGGGGGGAGAACCCCCAGCTCCTCACATTCAGAGGTCCCACCCTGAAGGCTAAGCTCTCAGGTCACCTTCAAGATGCTGGGTGGGGGTGTGCAGCACCTCATTCATTTCATGTTAGAATTCAGGGGCTTCCCAACCTCAACACTCCGGACATCGGTCTGGGATGGTTCTTTGTGACGGGCTGCCCTGGGCACCCTTGGGTGTTGAGCAGCATCCTTGGCTGGGACCCTCGGTGTATCTTCCCTCCCCAGGGGAGAGCGGCTGCAATGTGGAGACCCCCACTACCAAATGAAGAAACTCAGGTGCACAGAGGCCATGTCCTCATCCATGGGGCTCGTGGCTACGCAGCTGGCTGGCAGCCGGCCTTGAACGGGCCTCCCTCCCCTACATTCCGTCTGCTCATCCTCTGACCCAGAAACCCCTGTCGCTCCTCGTTCCCCAGTCACAGAAGCCCAGGGCACGCCACCCATCACAGCCCCTCCCAAGCACCACCTCTGCTGGTCACCTGCACCAACGCCTACTGTCCCCCACCTACTGCAAGCACAGGGAGTGACAGGCCTGGCCTCCAGAGCTCCGAATGGTGGGCCTGGGGGCTCACGAGACGTGAGAGGAAAGCGTCCTCATCTGAGAGGAGAGCACAGGCCCAGGGGAAGGCAGCGCAGGCAGGGTCTTGAGATGGGCTGCCGCGCAGTGTCCTGGCACGTCAAATGGTACCAAAGACAGGTGTGACCTAAAGTCTTTGGGTGGCTGTGGGCTTAAATGTGCTAAAAGGAGTAAGCCTGCCGGGAGCAGCCTGGAACCCAGCAAGGGAGGTGGGGCGGGTGAGGGGCAGGGAGGATCCAAAAGAGGAAATGGAGACAGGCAGACCCTGCCCTGCAGCAGCATGCCTCACCAGAGCTCGGCAGGCCCTCTTGCTCCATCAAAGGCTCTGAAGCCGACCGTCATAAACTGGGGAAGTGCCCCAGTCAAACTCACACCTCCCCACTTTCCAATGCCAGGCCAACCCAGCCAATGGGTCAAACCACTGGTCTCCTTGCGGGGTGGGGCACTACTCAGAACCTGTGGGGACCCTGATGCCTGGATAGGGGGGATGGGGGACAGCTCTTCAAAAGCCCAGATGCAGGCCAAGGAGTTTGAGTTTTCCATGGGAGGTGATGGGGAGGCCGAGGAACCCCAAGCCAGGATAGATACTTATTTCCAGAAAATGGCACAAGGGTCTCCACAGGACATCTAAAGCGTTTGCACTGGTTCTGGGAGAAAGATCAGGCTATCTCCCCCCCCCCCCCAAAGAGTTACTCTTGACAACCCACCAAAAGCAATTCTACTGTCCTATAGCAGCACTGAGTCAGAATGGAGTAGTGAGTTTGCAGTCCCCTACCCCCACTGGTTCTACAAGGCTGGAACTCCTCTAGAACCTCAGCCCCTCCCAGCCCCATTCATCCCTGAGTGGTGTCTTTTATTATTCAGATGGTGGCTCAGAGCTCTTCCCTAATCAGACCACTCATCTAACACACACCCCCGCCCCCACTCCTGGTCACCACCTTCACACTGATCCACTTCCTTGCTTCACAAACGGGATTCTTGGGGAAACTGGCTACATGAAGCTGGTCACCTTCCCAGACTACAAGCACTTTGAAAGCAGCTCCCTAAACAGAGAACTCCCTAAGCAGAGAGTTAGTTGTGAGATAAAATGGTTCCAACTGTCTTGGGGGCAGTGGGGCCCACCAACTCCTCCACTCTCTTTGGGCTCTGCCTAACAGCCCTCTTCTCTGCCACCTGCCTGAGTACAGGGCCAGTTCCCTCCAGTCTTGTGGCCCTGTCTGTGGCTCCTGCTGATATTGTATTCCAGATGTGACTAGACACAGTCCCAGATGAAGCCCCCGTCTGGACCCAGTAGGAGTACCAGAAAGCCCTGGCCCAACTTTACCTGGGGATGCCGGTCACATTCCTCTCCCATCCCAATCGGCTGGGTCAGACAGGGGCAGTGAACAGGGGAGGGCAGGGCCAGATCAGGGGTGGGCTGGGAACCACAGTGCGATTGGGGGGAGTAAGGGTGACAACCTATCATTAAGCCCAGAAAATCTAGCAGTTTGTGGCTTCTGCCTCAGGGTGCCCAGGATCCCAAATCCACTTTGAGGGCACCCCTGCAAACAGCCTTGCAATTAGCCCAGAGAGAAGGGACTGAAAGTTGGGCAGGGACAAGACCTCCTGGGCAGACAAGTAAACTAGCTCTGGACTCAGCTTCACTCCTGTAACGGCCTCCCATGGCCTACTGGAGTCCAGACCTCTTGGTCCCCAGAGAGCAGGAAGGTTAGGGAGGAGGTGTGGTCAGGTCTGAGAAAGGTACCTCTAGTGACCCAGACCCCAGGACAACACAAGGGCATTGCCCTCATCTCTCTGGATGGGTGGGAAGAAAGTTCAGGAAAGAGGGGCGCTGGGAGCTGGGTGAGGGGGGCTATATATGGGTTTAGGACTGAGGGCCACCCCAGCACTGCCCACTGTCTAGTTGTGGGGCTCGAGGCAGCCATGCCACACCAGCACCCGCACCTCTACTTCGTCCACCCTGGAGATGAGTGACCGGTGAGCTCGCCCACCAGACTTGCAAGCGAAGCATCTCCCAGAGAGCATGTTGGAAATGGGTAGCCCTAAGACTACTTGGAGTAGTGGTGTAGGTGCCTCCTCTGCGACCCATTCTTTCAGACCCACCTTCCTTCCTTCCTTCCATCCATCCATCCACCAGAAGTCTCCCAGGTACAACTACCAGAAGTGTATTTGCCCAGCTCCCTTGGTCCTCTGCCTCAAGGCCAGAGCATCCTGGGAGCTGGGTCCAGGGAGGCCAGGGTGTAAGATGGTGACCACGAAGGGAGTTCTGGACTCCCCATCCTCTAGACTTTGAGCCACAAGGATCTGGTCACTGAAAGCAGGGACAGAAGCCAGGTCCCTAAGATCCTTGCAGACATGAGGTGGGGTGGGCCACGCCATCAGTGTGGTAAACAAGATGCCTGCGCTAGGTGTTCAGCCTCTGCCCAAGCTACCCACATAACACCAAGCCGATGGCTGGGACCTGGGAACAGTCAGCAGAGGCCTGCCCAAGGGATCCAAAGGCTCGGGGAGGAGGGTGCGGGAAGGACGAGCCCGCCTTTCCCCAGGCCTCGCTTTGAGCAGACACCGGACACTGGCCACACCTTGCACCTGCCCCTCCACCCCCGTCCCTCGGGCCCAGAGTCCCTGCCTCCCTACACTCCCCCGGCTTCCAGACCAGTCCTTCACCCTACCTGACCCACCCCACCATCGGTCTCGACCCCACCTGCTCCCGACCTCAGGTGACCCCAGACAACAGCTCTAGGCTCTCCTAGCCGCCCACACCTACTCAGCCCCACTTCCGGGGCTTCTCCCAGCCGCCCCCGGCGGTAACGTGACCCACCCGCCGGGCCCAGCGCCCC